ATGAGACTAAGTCAAACATCCAACACACACTAGTCTCACATGCATTAACGATATCCCACTCTCGTTAATACTCGACTATGGACATTTAGATAAATATTTATTTCAAGATGTTAGTCTCATCAGCAGAATAACACTATCTGATAAACATCTTTAAATATAAATCTAGGAATATAATATTTGTTTACATTAGCATGAGATGTGTAAACATATTATATCTGCCTATACATAATAGAATAATGATAAACAGTTGGCCATCAGGGCACAACTCCAACAGTGACAGGGGGAGCAAATTCGGCTACAAATTCCAACGCCCTCGGTCTCACACCCGACCAAATGACGCGCTTACTTTCCATGCTTGACACTTGTTCATCTGACAAAACTGCCGGTTCTAGCGGTGATTCTTCTTCCCGTGAGTGGCTTATTGATAGCGGTGCTTCGCATCACATGACTGGTAATATCTCATATTTGTCTAATGTGGTTTCTATGAGCCCTTGCGTCATCACTTTACCCAATGGCACACGCACCACTGCCACTCAATGTGGTCACGTGTGACTCTCGGCCGAGGTGGCCCTTCGGGACGTTTTGCTCGTTCCCCATTTACAGTGCAATCTTATTTCTGTTGGTTGCCTTACTCGGGATACATCTTGTTTTGTAATTTTTAACGACAATTGTTGTGTAATACAGGATTGTGCAACGAAGATGGAGATTGGACGGGGTGATGCATGCAACGGAATCTTCTTGTTTCGTCCTTCCTCAACCGCGGCTGCGACCCAAGTGGACCCTATTCTTCTTCATAAACGCTTGGGCCATCTGTCTACTCTAGTTTTGTCGTCTCTTATTCCTTCTCCCATTAGCTCTAAAATTAAACTGTTGCAGTCTTGTGAGATTTGTTTTCAATCTAAACAAGTTCGTAGTTCTTTTCCAAACATTTCCAATAAAGCTACCAGTGTTTTTGATTTAATTCATTGTGATTTATGGGGACCATACACCCCTTGCTTAGCTACTGGTGCTCATTATTTTCTCACTATTGTGGATGATCATTCTCGAGCCGTTTGGGCTTATTTGATTACTAATAAATCTGAAGTGTCTAGTTGCTTAAAACATTTTTTTGCCATGATTCAGACCCAATTCCATAAAACCATCAAAATTGTTTGTTCTGATAATGGGACTGAATTTGTAAATTAGGATCTTCGGACATATTATGCATCCTTAGGTGTTCTTGTTCAAACATCTTGTGTTGGTACCCCCCAACAAAATGGTCGGGTGGAACATAAACATAGACACATTTTAAACGTCGCCCGATCACTCATGTTTCAAGCCCATTTACCAATTGAATTTTGGGGGGAATGTGTTCGTACAGCTGTATATCTAATTAACCGGACTCCCAACAAACTTCTCGGTGGAAAATCCCCTTTTGAGCTACTCAATAACAAAGCACCTGATCTTAGTCATCTCAAAATTTTTGGGTGTTTGTGTTTTGTTCGTGTGAAAACTGCTAACAAATTTTCTCCTCGCAACACCAAGTGTATGTTTGTTGGGTACCCCTCCGGCACTAAAGGTTGGCGTGTGTATGACCTTGATTCTCACTGTTTTTTTCACACTCGGGACGTGGCTTTTGACGAGAGCCAATTCCCGTTTGCCATAAAACACACACCGACCGAACCTACCACCTCCACTCCACTGGCCGACTTTCCCGAAATACCCCCGCCCGATCCCCCTCTGGTAACGCCGGCCAATCTTTCGGCGGCAAGTACTCCGGTCGCAGACACCGCTGAACCGGGGACAGAGGGCGACCAGCCATCCGTCAACCCCTCTCCTTCCCAAACAGCTGCTGTTCCCCTTTTTCGTCCCCAACGACAGCGTCGTCTGCCTTCCCACCTTAGTGATTATATCGTTAATTCTGTTCAATCTCATGTCCCGTTGCGTTCATCTCCTCCCCGGTCTTCATCTTCAGGTACGCGCTATCCTATTACCAACTTTGTTTGTTATAATAAATTGCATGACAGGTACCGTGGTTTTCTTGGGGCTATCAGTCCGCACTTTGTTCCTACAAATTATTCTGAAGCAGCTCCTCATGCCACTTGGCGGGCTGCTATGAAAACAGAACTTCAGGCTCTCGAGAATAACCACACTTGGGATATCACTGAGCTACCATCTGACCGGACGGCTTTGGGATGTCAATGGGTTTTTAAAACCAAATTCAATTCTGACGGCTCTAAGGAACGAGACAAAGCACGCCTCGTTGTGTTGGGCAATCATCAGACATTGGGGGTTGATTACACAGATACTTTTGCCCCGGTAACAAAACTGGGTTCTGTTCGGGTCTTGCTTTCCGTTGCCGCGGCCAAGGGCTGGCCAGTGCACCAGCTTGACGTCAACAACGCTTTCCTCCATGGTGATCTGATTGAGGAAGTGTATATGCGTCTGCCACCCGGTTATGCCCACCTTTATCCAGGAAAGGTTTGTCGTCTGCGTAAGTCTCTCTACGGGTTACGACAATCACCCCGCAATTGGTTTGGCAAACTTACCTGTGCCCTTCGCCGATACGGCTTCCGTTAGGCCCATGCTGATCATACTCTGTTTATTCACCGCTGCGGTACTGATATTTTGGTTGTCTTGGTTTACGTTGATGACATTTTGGTTGCAGGTAATAACCCCACCTTGTGTACGTCTTTCAAGTCCTATTTGAACAGGTGTTTTCGGCTCAAGGATTTTGGGCCCTTATCTTATTTTTTGGGCATTGAGTGTGCTCGGTCATCAGCGGGAATTGTTCTGTGCCAACGTAAATATGCGTTGGATATTCTTCATGAGGCCGGTTTATTGGGGTGTATGTAACGCCCCAAAACATACCCTAGAATTATTAATAAATAAATAATAAATTAATCAAATTTGTTTTGATTAAAAATAATTTATTGTTAGACTTTGGGCCGAAAAAATATGTGTTTGATATCCAATATCTTAATCTGGATAAATCTCATAGAAATAAATCCAATATGTTGACTAATTGTGTAATCTTGGTTAGGAACCTGAGTACAAACCCAAAATCAGTAATAAATGAATAATGTGTTTATGATGTAAACTTTAAAATGATTTATTGAAATAAATCATGAGAATAAATAAAATGAATTTAGTATGAGTACCTTTTTAAGTAAAGGTCAAATAAATCAATTTTGACTTTGTCAAAGTCAACCACCCAAAAATATGATGTCGGAAAAAGTATTACAAATAATTATGAAAAATATATCATTGGATAGAGCTCGACTGTCTGATCGCAACGGTGCAAACAGATTTCAATTTGGAGAAAGTTGGACCAAAAAGTGTACCCCGACTTGAACCAAAATAGGTCCCAATCAGGGAACTGTTTAGACAGCGCCTCCTCCCCCACTACGCCGATCACAGAATTGTGGAGTCACCATAGTTGTTTTCTTCTTCTCTCCTTCTCATTATATAAGAGAACCCAACCTTCTCATTTCTTCACCATTCTTCTTCATTCTTCTTCCTAAGTATTCATTAAAGTGTGAGGAGTGTTGTGGTGCTGTCAATTTGGTGTGAAGTCGCTGGAGTTGGGAGAAATACTCGCCGGAAGTTTCGCCGGAAAATTTTCAAAACCTTTGTTTGGCTTCGAGGTAAGCCCGTAGATATATCTAATGACTAGAATGTTCATATAGGTCGTTTCTACGTTCATAAATGGTCATTTGGTTGAGTTTTGTGTTTGACATGCTTGAAGAACTAAGAATCATAAACCATGAAATTGATGTTAAAATTATGAATTAATGATGCTAAAATGATCCATGAACCTTGGAGAACATTTTTATATACTTTAATTGAAGTTTGG